CATATGTAGTTGGAAACAGGAGGAATATTTCATTAGCCTTTTCAGATAATTGTGGATATTCTTTGATACTGTGGTAGTTTCTTAAAAGTTAGTTACAATATGGAATTTTTTTATTTGTTTATTTTGCAATATGGAATTTAAAACCTGTATCAGTGAACTTTTTATATTCCATTACATTAAAATCTATCGGTTTATCTTGTACTTTGAAAGGATCTTTTACCAGTGTATGATTTCATAACTTAATGCATTAGTTATCTGGAAAAATACTGGTTCACTAAATTAAAACAGGTCTTCCAAATATTGATACATAAATAGTATCATTTGTTAATAGCACCACCAGACTCATCAGAATAGCCTTTAAGTGTTAGGAGACTGTCAGACTTACAGTGGCAAATACAAGTTTTCCAAAACTCTAATTTTTGCTTGAAAGTTCTAATTTTATAATTGATAACAAATGCTACCAGATGTGATTTTTTTTGTTGTTGTTGTGTTTTTATAGGCAGTGTCTGACACTGTTGCCCATGCTTGGAGTATAGTGGCATAATCATAGCATTCACTGTAAATTGAAGCTGCTGGGCTCAAGCAGCCTCCCAAGTAGCTAGGATTTACAGGCAGGACACTCTTTCCAGCCAATTTTTATTATTATTATTTTTTGTAGAGATGGGTTGTCACTGTGTTGCCCAGGATGCTCTGGAACTCCTGAGCTAAAGCAGTCCTTCCACCTCAGCCTCCCAAAGTGCTAGGATTGCAGGCATGAGCCACCGCGCCCAGCAAGAGTTCTTTATGTACTCTGAATACTAGACCCTTATCAGATATTTGATTTGCAAATATTTTCTCCCATTTTGTGAGTTGTCTTTTTACTGTCTTGATAGCCTTCTTTGACATACAAAAGTTTTTCATTTTGATGAAATCTTATTTATCTACTTTTTTCTTTTGTTACTTATGCTTTCGGTCTCTATGATGCCATTGCTTGCTCCGAGGTCATATTGTTTTCTTTTAAGACTTTCATGATTTTAGCTCTCACATTTAGATCTTTGATGAACTTTGAGTTAATTTTTGTGTATAGTGTGATTTAGAAGTTCATCTTCTTTCTTTTGCATGTGGATATCTATTTGTCCTAGCATCATTTGTTGAAAGATTATTCTTTCCTCATTGAATTGTAAAACTAGGGGACAACCTGAAATTAGCCAAACCACAAAGTTTAAAGCCAGCTACCAAGTTTAGAGGGCATATAGCCTTCTCAGAGACTCAAAGACTACCGTCACTGCTGACACCAACTGCAATTTCAAAGGGTTCCAAAAACCACCCTTGGGTTTGATAGTTCACTAGAAGAACTTACTGAAAGCTGTTATAGTCATGGTTACAGTTTGTTACAGGGAACAGGCACAGATTAAAATCAACTAAAGGAAGAGACATACAGGGTACAGTCTCAGAGGGACTGAAGATTGCATACTCCTCTCCCGTGGAGTCAGGACACATTACCCTCCTGGCATAGATGTGTGACAATGTGCATAAAGTAAGGTAGTCCCCTCTTATCTGTGGTTTTGCTTTCTGCAGTTTCAGTTACAGTCAACTGTAGTTCAAAAATACTAAATGGGAAATTCCGGAAATATACAATTCATAAGTTTTAAGTTGTACATTATCTTGAGTAGCATGGTGAAGGCTTGTGCTGTCCTACTACATCTTGCCCAGGATGGTGAATCATCCCTTTATGCAGTGTCTCCAGCTGTATACACTACCCACCTATATTAGTAGCCTAAGCCATTATTAGATCAGCTGTCATAATGTAGTGCTTTTGTTCACATAACCCTTGTTTTACTTAGTAATGGCCTCAAAGCTCAAGAGTAGTGATGCTGGCAATTTGGATATGCCAAAGAGAAGCCGTAAAGTGCTTCCTTTAAGTGAAAAGGTGAAAGATCTCAATTTAGTAACAAGAGAAAAAAATTGTATGCTGAAGTCGCTAAGATCTATAGTAAGAATGAATCTTCTATCTTTGAAATTGTGAAGAAGGAAAAAGAAAATTCATGGTAGTTTTGCTGTCCTGCCTCAAACTGCAAAGATTACAGCCATAGTGTTAAGATGGAAAAGGCATTAAATCTGTGGGTGGAAAACACAAATAGAAAGGTGTGGCGGTGGACGGCAGTCAGGTTCAGTACTATCTGTAGTTTCAGGCACCTACTGGGGGTCTTGGAATGTATCCCTGTGGATAAGGGAGAACTACTATATTGCCAACCAGAGAAGCTCACCTGAGCTTAGTGTGTCCAGAGTTTTTATTGGGGCTTCATTACATAGGCATGAGTGATTTGATTGGCTGCCCACATGGCTGAACTCAAATCTTCAAGTCAACAGGTACTAAGTTACTCAAAGTTCCCACCCTAGACCACATGGTTAGTCTTTCTTCTTTTTTTTTTTTTTTTTGAGACAGAGTCTCACTGTATTGCCCGGGCTAGAGTGCCGTGGCGTCATCCTAGCTCACAGCAACCTCAAACTCCTGGGCTCAAGCGATCCTCCTGCCTCAGCCTCCC